GCAATAGTTTTTTGCTTTTGTTTATAGTAATATTTAAATATACCTTAAAACTCAATTTGTATTTTCATTAAAACTTATTGAAAAAAAGCATGCAGGGCATGAGCCCTGATTCGGACATCTTTTGGAAAACTACTCACCAGGGCTAAGCTACTGATGAGAATCATAGTAATAATTAAAGTTTCAAAATATTTATGTTCAACCAGCCAATAACTCTTCCGCCGAGCTTCCTTCCATCGCGTCCACCATAAACTATCATCTCCCATGCAGAAGGGAAATCGATCATAACAGCAATCAGGACAACAGTCTGCAGGATATTCGGGCTCTATGTGGTCCTCCGAGAGAGCTGCTTCAATCTTGTCTGTATCCACAATATCCTCGATTTTCTCTTGGACCTGGTCTTCACTCAAGAATTCACCTGAGAAAAATAAAAATCCTAATGAAACTACATGCAAAAATTAAAAAATGAAACTAGATTTATCTAGAATTAAGAAGTTTTCAATAAAATTGTCTTGTATTTCTCTGTATATTATCCATAAATAAACAATACATAGTCAGCTTTCTCTTAAAAAAAAATAACTAGAAGAAAAGCATAAGTCAGATTAGTTGATATTATAAATGTCTTGAAAACATTATTATACACATACCATCAAAAAACACTATCAGTTAGTTACCTTAAATAACTATTAAAAATTATTAACTTTTGCCATCCAACTATCACAAAAAGGAGAATTTTTTTGTTTCAAGAAAGAAATAAGTAAGAACACATTACTATAACAATGCAAAATGTGTGTTCTGGTAAAAAGAGTTTAAACTTGAACATTATTTCTTCATGGAAACCAATAGATATCACTATATTTTGGTTTCCAAACTCCCTCAAGTTTTAAGGACTAGAGGCCAGGCATGGGCAACCTATGGCACCAGATGTGGCATGTGGAGCAATTTTCAGTGGCACTTTTGAATGATTTAATTGCATTTGTTGCTCTTTCCACTTTTGTTTATATATATATATATGTAAACAAATTTTTTCTCATATGAAATATATTTTGAATCCACAAATTATATCTTTTATATTGCCATATTAAGTAAAGTCTTGCAGGAACAAGTTTCATATTAACATTTTGATTTTTTATTTAACTATATTGCAGGCATACTTATATTTTATGTGTTATTTACTTCTTATTTTAATAAATATTCTTAAAAGATTCATATTTATATGTATAATTTTAATTGTAAATTTATGATGAATTAGTAGTTACATGTTGTTTATCTTCATGTTAAAAAATATCTTTAAATAATGCAAAGTTGATAAATAATACAATTTTAAATCTATACACTTTCAGCCTCTATTCCCTAACCCTACATTTATTTTCATTGGAATCGAATTGTTCCAAATTTCCTTCTGTATGGCAACTTGAGTCATATTGGTAAAATGACTTGGCCCATCACAGGTATGAAATTGCCAACTCCTGGTAGAGACCATAATTTGTTTGACGAATGTCCCCTTGATTTAAGTTTTATTGTATTTTAGAATATTACGAATATTGAAATTTAATGTGAATCCCTTGTCTATATAGCAAACTTATAAATAGTTTTAAAACACATCTCCATAATAAATTTTATTATTATAAAATAAATTAAAAAATATTAATAATAATCCTTTTTTCCATTTTCTATAAATTATAACAATTACCCTTCTAATTCTTTATTGTGTTTTAGGAAATGCTATTGATAAAAGTGACATATGTTAAATTAAATGAACGAAATCTCAATTTTTTTCTTTCATATAGTTTTTTATTTCTCTTTGATTAAATTTCACTTCTCTGGATTATATTTATTTAGCAGCAGCTTAATAGTAATGTATTTTAATAAAATTATCCACAAAAAGTAGTTGCTATCTAAAGGACAGTATTGTAAGTATTAAAATATAACTTATCCTTTTAATTAATTGCTTTACAATAGAATTAAAACTATTCATGTTTTGTACTAATGTATTTATGAAAACTAAAATGGAAGTTTATGCAATCTTTAGCTTTGAAGCTTACAGTTTCGAACTTTAATTTTTGGAAATTATTCTCAAGCTCAAAATCTTCTGATCACACAGCTTAAAAATCAGCTATTAGACTACAGTAGTGGTCTTCAAACTTTTTTGGTTTATGGAACCAAGAACTATAAGGTGTTTTTAGGGAGCCCCATTCAACACACTCTTAGAAGAATATATTGTAAAATAATATTTAAAGTAGATTAACTTGTTTATATACAATTGAAGAAAAATATTGTACTTGTTATTTAAAAAAATATAAATAATATTAGCATAATTTACTCATTTCCCCCTTAAATAAGTTGTTTTAAATGGCTTTAAAATGTTTACAAATGTGTGAGCAACTTGAGCATTCTGCATAAATTTGCATCCTAAAATTTATGAGCTATTCTGGCTCAAATTTAGATATTAACATCGAATTAGCTGACATGTTGATAAGTTGTTTCCTCTCCTTCATTAGTAAGCCATCAGGTTTATCATAGTATTCAAAAGGATTTTTATCCATTCATGCTTAGTTTTTTTCCCTGAGAAACATTCTCTTATAGGTGTTTTTTTCTTTCTTTTTATAAATGGAAAAAGATATATTTTCCACTAGAAAACTATTTAATTTTGCAAAATGTTACACTAATGAGTATAATATTATTTCAAGGAACCTAAAATCATAAGCAATTGAATATTCCCATTCTAGTAGGAATGATTTAAATTTTTATTATATTATATTAAAAGTTAAAACATTTTACAAAATAAAATGTAAAAAAAAAATTATCAATCTTAATAACTAGAATGAGCTTACTTTGTTTAGGGCTAAATATTTAAGTCAGGTTCTGTTTTTGTTAATGAATCTCCTGTCATTTAAAATTCGTTTAATATTGTACATATATCTAGCAAATATGTCAGTCAGGGACGTAGCTACTGCTGTATCAATGACAGGGTCCCCAAGCTACAGGGGCTCCAACATGTGTAACTACAGTCTCACAAACAGGGCTCTCATATCTAAAAAAGGGCCACGAAGGAATTTTGATACAGGGCCCTCTCAGAGCTAGCTATACTAGCTATACCAATATATATACACTCATGGTCATACAAACTAAATAGAGAATGTGAATACATTCTGTATACAAATTTATAATTTTCCTTTTGTTTTTTTTTATTTTGACTCACAGAACCCTTGGGTATGCTCTGTGGAACACAGTTAGAAGACAACGGAGCTACAGCAAATGCTGAAATACATGAAGAAGAATGCACTAAAGAATTAGCTTATAGTCACCTGTACTAAATATGTCCTCCTTAGTGCTGTCCTTCTTCTCTTCCCCACAATCAATAGACAAGTCACTAGCTTCCTTAGGAATCTTGGCAACGACGAGACCCTTTTCAATAATATCCGATTTGTTTTCATCATCATTGGAAGAGTGGATTTTGTTATTGCCAGTCAACTCATTTTCCTGAAAAATTGACACAAAAATTCAAATGTCTGATACATTGTTTTAAAGAATTTTAAAATAAATTCAATCATACTAATTAATCACCTGCAATTTCAATACAGTATAAAAATTCCATTTCAGTTCGATCTTTTGAAATTTACTTCAATGTAATTTGCAATGAAAAATTTGATCAAATTTATGAATACAAATAATTTAGTGATATTTTAGATTTACATGGTTTTAGAAGTAATATTTCATAAATGTCATCTATCAAACTATGCCCCAGGTTTAAGTTATATAAATTTAAAATTCCAAAGAGTCCTCCAAACTCTTTCATTTACTAGTCATTTAATTTTTTACAATTATATTACATGGCATTTCTTTTGAAACAAATAATAAATATTCATAAACTTTTAAAAAAGGACAAAAATGGATGTTAACATACTGTTTTTAAATCATTATATTTCGCAATATATGTGTGTCTGTATGTTTTTCCTATATTCATTAAACATACTTCATTCTGAAAATTTTTTAGAAGAAAACGTCACACTTTTATGAATTTTAAGAAAGGAGTGAATTGAAAATTATATTAAGATTAAATACTATTGAACAACATATTTTTTCTGAAATCTTTCTATTTCTTTCCACTAAAAAGAAAAAAGTAAGTACCTTTGTATTATTCATTTTGATAGATGGTTTTTCAATCTTGGTGCCTAAAGGAACGCAATTCATAGTTGGCTGAGAGTTATTGGAATCCTTTATTTGAATAGCTTGCCCATTTCCTATAATAATTATGACACACATTTGTATTATATATAAAGTATATAGTTCATTATAAACATTACATGAAAATAAAAAATAAAAAAAAAAAAAAAGGTTTAGGTGAAGGTTTTTAATGTATGCTTCATAACATAAAAATTGGATCACTTGAAGATTCATTAGATAATTTGTAAATATTTTCAGTAAAAAAAAAAAGATTTTTTAAATTAATATTCAATACAAAATAAATTAACAGAATCTAGAACATTTGACCTGTTGATTTCTTTATTTAATAAGTGAGTTATTTAATTTCGATATAAAAGATTTACATGATTTTTTTTTTCAATTAAACCTACAAAGTACCTTATTGAAATATGGATTAGTCATTTCTGTCAAATCTTTCTGCACATTTCAAATATCTTTTAAAAGAAAAAAATGATATAGATAAAACAAATCTGCAAAAACCACGATTTAAAAAAATAAGAAAAAGCTCAGTACTACAAGTAATATAATTTTTTTTTTTAAAGTCAATTCCTACTTAGGTCAACAAAGAAAAATTTTATTTTAGTTACTTTTTATTAAATAGTTACAATTAATATAAACATGAATATACATATGAAAGAATCACTTTATTAAGTGACAAAATAGAAAGCAATTTTCCTTTCTATATATGGTGTTGGACTATTTTTTTGTTTGTTTGTTATTATTTATTCATTAGTTAAATTTAATTATTCTAAAAAAATAGTATAGCAAAAAAGAAATCACACTCTGAGAAATTTGGCCATCCCAGGTGGGATTCGAACGAACCCACAACCTTTGGATTAGAAATCCAATGGGCTATCCATTGTACTACAGGAACGCAGCAAACAATTTTCCTTTTTATATAGGGTGTTGGACTATCATTCTTGTTTGTTACTATTTATTCATTTATTAATTTAATTAATGAATCAATATTTGAAAAAAACTGTATTAATATCAAGTGTCATCCAATACAAGTTTAAAAAAAATGTATTTGAACTTGAATGGATGAAAGAAAGTATTTTATTAACGATTGAAAATTTGAACACGATATATATATATATATATATATATATATATATATAGGGAGAGATATATATAGGGAAAGAATGAACTAACAGTAGGATTTGAATAAAAGATGAATTACAGAGACTTTCATTATAACATGCATACAGTTCAAGGAGGAAACAATTGTATTACTAATTTATAGGCAGAACAAGATCGCAATCGAAAGTTGCAATAATGAGCACAGGAATAAACTATTTTAAGGACATCCTAGCCTGAAGCCTACAACCTAAATCCCAAGGGGTGTAAAAGAAGTGAAATATGCAAACTTGAAATTTCTCTAAAGCTTAAGTTCCTAAAAATAGGGTAAATACAGCATGCACATATTAAAAATTCACTTTCATTTCAAATTCAAATCTATTTGATATTTTTCATGCGTTATTAATATGTTCCTTTTTTTTTTTTTTTTGAGAAGTAGAGGAGGAAACCAATTTTGGTTGTGGCTTAAAATAGTAAGAAATACATTGGTCAAAGGAAATGGAGAGAAGGTTTGAAGAGGAAAAGTAACCGGACAGGTTCAGGAAAAGCAGGATGGATAGAAAGAGCCAATGAGTACATACCCTGTACAGAAATTTCCATTTCATCTTTTATAACTACTTCTAGATCTGTAACGTGTTTTGAAAATTTTTCCATCATAGGGAGTTGCCCATCCTCAACGAACTCACCTGTGATTGTATCATCCCCAAGATCATCTCTCATTTCTGTTCCTTGGTCGGCGATTTGATTGGTGAGTTTGGCCCGGATGGACTAAAATTTGTGCAAAGTAAAACAAAAAAACAGTGGAAATAAATAGAATGAATCAACTGGTGAAATAATCTTATATTTGGTGAAATAAAATAAATGTGTCCTTAATGAATTCTTTTTAAATTAAAAACATCATACAGAAACATAAGTAGTATTTTTTGTGTTTTTTGGAAAGAATTATACATAATTTTATAAGCTTTGATTTAATACTCTAGATCAGGGGTCGGCATCCTCTTAGCTTTAGCGTACCAAGCCAATCTACCAATATGATTCAGTGTGCCACACTGTAGGACATATTTGGAACATTTCGACTTCAGGAATAATGCATGCAGAGTTAGGGAATAGAGGTCAATAATGTAGAGATTTTCAATTCTATTTATATATTAATTTTGCATCGTTTAAAGATATTTGCTTAACATAAAAATAAATAACATAAAATATATTTATTCCTTCAATAAAAATTAAAAAAAATAATACATATATTAAGTATTTTTAAACATACTTATTAAAATAAGAAATAGACAATATAAAATAGAAGTATTTCCCTCCATTACAGTTAAATAAAAAGATAAATAAAAATTTTAATGTGAACCTAGTGCTTGCACCGCTCTATTTTCATATCGCAAAATCAGGGGTATAATTTGTGACTCTTTATTTGACACAATTTCTTTACGGACTGGAAATATTTTTCATTTGACCCAAAATCTTTACTTAGATACGTAGAACCAAAAGAGGAAAGCAGAGTACATGCAATTTTCTCTCTTTAAGCAATTAAATCTCTCCAGCAATGACATTCAAGAATTTACAAAGTAGCTGTAAATTTATCTTTGGAGCTATTTTTCAGACTTTTTCGTAACTCTGAAGATGTTTATCAATTAAGGTCCATTATAAATTATCAGCTTTCATCCATTCTAAAATTGACAAATGTGTGAAGTAGTGCAGAGTGCCACTGAGAATTGTACAGTGTGCCACATGTGGCACGCCTGACATAGGTTGCCGACTCCTGCTCTCGATATAAATTTAGATAGAAATAGGTTTCTTTTCATGTTGGAAGTTAATAAATAACAATCTAATAAAATTTCATGGAAAATTGCTTCTAAAAAAAGGAAAAGAAAAATCAGGGAACACTAACAAATAATTTAACACATAATATAGCATAACTGCTAGTAGATTATTTAATTTACACATGAACCAAATAAAACATTTTAAATTTATTAAAACAATACATTAAAAAAATTATTTTTTTAGTTATTTTGTATAATGTTCCCCTTCTCCCAAATTTGATACAATCTTCAGAATAACAAATATTGATGCATGACATATCTCAAAATGTCACATTTAGTTTTTATTCCTTAAATTAAACGGCAAAATTTCATACATTTTAAAATTACTTTTCTAGTATAAACATTTATGTGTTTTTAAAAATTTGATATACAGTACATTAAATACAGATGCAAAAGGAAGTGCATATGTTACCGGTGAAGTATGAAATCCGGCATTGTATAGAATGCCTAAAACTAGCCGGCAATGAATGAAATGATTCTTATTTCACACATTGCCTAGGCATTCTATAAAATGTCTAATGAGAAACCGGCAAAGTATGAAATACATCACCGATTCCTTTCGAATATTGCGTGGCAAGGCATGAGACTTTTAACGCGGGCCTCTGGCTCAGAATTTTTAACTTGCATATTGTGGTTTGTTCGGAGTGTCAAAATATTCAATTTTACTTAAACTTTTTCAGCAAAACCGATGATTTTTTCCTGTGCTGCATGAAAATGGAGAAGCAAGTTGTAGTGTTGGAGAAGGAGTCACGGTCTATAGCAGGGGTAGACAACCTATGTCACGCGTTACAATTATCAGTGGCACTGAGCGCTACTCAACAAGTTTGTCAATTTTTGAATGAACATAAATTTGTAATAGACCTTATTTGACAAACATCTCCAGAATTTGGACAAAAGGAATTATTAAAAAATTTGAAAGAATAAGAATGGTCTTTGCGTGAAAAATGAAATGAAATGTGTGTGTGTAATTCAAAATGCCATTCAAGCCTACCATGTTGCAATAACTAGATTAAATTTAAGTTCTTATTTTTTATTTGAAAATTTTGTTTTCCTCAATCAAAGAAAGACATAAATTTTGTTTGGTACAATCTTCTTTTTCCTTTACGTATTTTGAATAATTTTTTAATGCCACTCTCATTATTTTATCAGAATAACATTTGTATTTTCTAGAAATGTACGTCATTGATATAGTAACCTTATCATGACCTTATTTCATACTTTGCCTAAACAGCTTTAGTCATTCTAAAGGCATTCTATACAATGCCTAGGCAAAGTATGAAATAATTCTCTTATTTCATATTTTGCCTAAAAACGTCCGGCATTCTATACAATGCCTAAGCATTGTGTAGAATGCCGGCATTTCATACTTTGCCGGTAACACATACATTTGAAAAGAATAAAAAGTGTATAAGATCTTTTCAAATGTATTGAAAAATAATTTCTTAATCTACTTTTCGATCATTGTTACTGCTTACATAATTTTTATGATATCCAAATATGGAATTTTTGAACATTCAGTAATACATAAATGTACCAAAAGTTGTAATAATACTTAAATAAAATATATTTATAAATTAAATTTCAAATAATTGTTACCTTTAAAATTCGGAGTAACAAATTTTTAAGACAATTAAATCCCCTAGAAAAACGGTCTATTGCTTCCTGAAGTTTTTTTGTATCTGCAGTATCAGATGGAGCTTGAGATAAATTAGAGGCACCGAAGGAGGACAGTAACAAGGCAAGGAACAAGTTCAGCACCTATAAAATAATTGTTTGAAGAGCAGAATTATGCACTTTCGTAATTATTTACATCATTTCTCACTTAATTCGGTAGTTTATTTTTACAAATTATTACACATAGCAGTTATATATATTGAATGCTGAATAAAATCTAACAAAAAGCTGAAATTAAATCAAAAGAAACAAAATCAAACAATTTTAATGTGTTGCAAGCAGTGGCGCACACAGGGGTTGGGGGTCCCCGGGTCCATCCCCCCCCCGAAGCTGTGGTTTTTTTTGGTTGATTATAATCTTATATTTATAGTACGTAAAATTTAATTAAGTATTTGTTATTAATAATTAATTTTATTAATTCCAATGCTAATTATCTATTCAATTGAAGCCCAGTGGCTGAGTGCATCACGCTTCCACACCACAGGTCCGAAGTTCAAACCCCGGGCTGGACAAGGTCGACTCAGCCTTTCATCCCTTCAGTGGGTCGATAAATGAGTACCAAGCTTGCTTGGGAACTTAACCCTGGAGGTTTCGCGTCAGTCTGAACCTGACCGGAACATTTGCTTATGCACCTCAGGGCCCAAGGTCGCGTTTCCTGAGTTGGGCACAGTAGGCCTTGGCCCTCATGGGCTGTCGCGCCACTGAGTTAAATTATATTTATTCAAAAATCTATTTTTTCTGTTTTTTATTCCCGAAACTCGACAAAATCAAAAGAATATGTTTGGCGGCGTATTAGTGCATGATACGAGAATGGTGGACTTTCGACCTTGGACCCCTCCCCCCGTCCTTGAAAAAATCCTGTGTGCGCTACTGATTGCAAGGAATACCTTATTAGTCAAATGATTACCTTACATCAGAGTTTATAATGAAGATATTCTGCTTAAATAGATAGCAATTATGTAACCGGTTTTTTCAATAAAATTTAAGTAAGAATATCTTTATTGTGGGAACATCAAATTTTTTACATAATTTCTCCAACTGAATATTACAGCAAAATATCCAGCAAATTCATGAAGTTAAAAAAATGTTGCATTATTTACCCAGTATTTTAAATTTTTGTGATGAGATTAAAATTACCTTCCTAAAGTCGACATTAAAAAAACTTCTTTTCTGAAGCACAATTTTGCAAGCCAAAACTGACAACCCTTGACATTTAAAAATGTAAATATTTTTATAAAGCCAACTGATTGAATCCTTTTTTAATTAGCGAGTAATTAAAACTGTATTTCCAGAA